TGTAGCTCTCCACTGAAAGTCTGTATGTACAATGAAGACTTTGTACTTGTACTACACATGCCAATGCTACAAAGCCAGGCAGAAATGACCACAGTGAAGGTGCTGTGGTGAGAAGAATTTAAGTGTTTGCTGGTGATGGGGCTGAACCTAGTATTTCATGTGCTCAAATGATCAAGCAGCTATTTGGAAACATTAGGAGCACAGTTATGAAGGCAACTTTGTTCTGCAATAAGATTCATCGTTTCTAAGAACACTGCTTTGTTCCAAACATTTTTGTATAAACAGGGAGGGACATCTTGATTTTCACTGCTCTCTCCTACTCAATCCAGGAGTAGTGAGCGGTAGGCTGCATTTTTCAGTGTACTTTAAGAAATCATGCTGGTTTGACGGTGTTTTCCCCCACCAAATTCAAGTGCTGACAGCCTCAGATCTCCTCTGGCATTAATGCTGTGCAATGATATCTTTGTGACCGTAACTGCCAAAGACCACGGGATGCAAAAGGAAGACATTGTGTGACAAGCTCACAAATTCTGACTGTAGCTGCTCTAAAATTTCAACTTCTCAACAGATAGAGCTTACCAAATATGAAACCTTTCCAAATTTAATGACAGAGAAAAAATACTGAAAAAGAAACACCTTTGTAATAAATTCAGTAGTAGTTCATCTATAAATGTCTCAAACTAAACAGTAAGCAATTGCACAGGCATGTCCATCAGTAAGATTTACCTTTAGTTATTGTGCCAACACATTAAAGAAACCCCTGCCCACTTCTTGGCTCTCCATTCTGGTTGGGTTTGGTTTTTGAAACTTGATCATATTGGCAGACAGTCTTAACCTCACCAATGGGGACAGCAATTAACCCTGAGAGGAAGGAAGGAAGGCTGAATTAATGCAGCAGTGCTGCTGAGAAAAGGATATAACAATAATAAAGTTTGTTTTTTCTTTCATTTGAGAAATAGCACGATCAATTCAGATAAGATAATGAATCAGAATCACCAGCTTCATGTTGAAAGTGAGAAATAAGGAGAATATAGGAGTTCTGAGTTATCTATAAAACAGGAAGAAAACAAGAGGATGTGGAAAGACTTTGTTTCTCTTTACTACAACTTTCCAGGGCTGTTTTATGGGATAGAGCTGTCACATGACCCAAAAGTCCAACCTAAGGCTTAAAAGCAGCGTCAGAAATTGCTGCTCCTACAAAGCATGAAACACCATGACGTCCTGCTGCCTTCTGCACTAGCTTCTCTTACTGTCATGGATAAATTTCACACTGTCACAGCAAGTAGGACACGAATAGAGATGCGAAGAAGAACTTGGTAGGAAAGGAAACAGGGCCTGAGGCAGAGCGTGGAAGATCTAACCTGGAAATAAACCCTGGGGGCTCTGGCACATCTATCCCGAAGGATGCGCGGCCACGTCCTGCACCTGAGCCCACTGGTTTCTGTGACCTGTTGACCAGCTGAAGTTACTTCTCTGCTGCAGTTTCATACTTAATCCCAAAGCTGTGAAGTTGCTGTGAAAACCCAGTGATTTATCCGGGGTGCATCAGCTAAGATCCCCAAGGACCTGGCGCTGAGCTGTGGCAGTGCATGGTGCGCACCTGCAAACCATCCTGGGAACGTGCCACAAAAGCTGTTGTGAATTTTGCTATTGTGCTCCTTGGGTGCATGAATTATGTCTGGTGTCTAATGCAGATGATGATGTTTGATGCAATAGGCCCTTTTGAATTAGCGCATGAAAACCTTTTCATAAAGTGTTTGGTCTCCCCTTTTTTCAAAGTCCATTGCGACTGTGAAGTGTAAGTGAACAACATAAAATTCACACTGATCCTTTCAATTCTTTTTTAAGCATCCTGAAATCCAGCTACTTTTTTTTTTTTTTTTTTTTTTTCCTGGCTGTACATCCTTACTTTTTATAGTTAAAAGTAATTTTAAAGCAAAAAAGAACATAAACAATATACACTGACTCTTGACACTCCATTGCTTTCTTAAACTAGAATAATAAAAATTTGCAAATGAACAAAAGAGTGGGAGGAAGATATCTGATTTACAATGTTTTTGAGATAAAGAACACTATAAAAAAAGATCAATGTGAATAATAAAGCATTGTTAACTGAGTCATGACATTTCTATTCTCAGTGAAGATTTGAACAGTAGAGCTCTGCAAATGAGCACCTTGTGCCATTTTCAAAGTGGGAGGAAGACATATAATTATAATTTTTAAAGTGAAGAGAATTTTTTAAAAATCTCTGTTAAAAAGTTTATTGAAAAACATATCGACATATCAGTGTGACATAAATTACTTTAATTTTATTAAACTAGGAGAGGGGAAAACCTCTTTTTGAAGACTGGCTGCAGAAAGCATTCCTTGAAAAGAATTTTCTTTATTAAAAACTCTTTTCCGAAGATGAAACAGCACTGAATGTCAGCACTACCGTATATTTATTCTGTAACTCTTCCAGCAGCTGAGATCTATAAAAGAAACATATTTCCAAAACAGTTTTAACCTCCATTGTCTTGATCGTTCATATTAACGTTTTTCATGTCACCTATTGAAATCCCTTAAAGGAACCTTTTATTCAGTCAAAATTAATGAAGCCGTTTTCTTAAACAGCCTCCAGAAAGTAAAAAGGATGTAACGTTATGCGTTTTATTTGACATATGTTCTCTGCCATTTCACTTATTTGTGTGACGAGAGCAAAACATCATATATGTGTTATCAATTCTGCAGAGAAAAGTGATTTTGAAAGAGAAGAAAACTAACTGTGCTCTTGCTGTGTGTGCAGTTTAAACTCAGAGTAAAAATACAGCATTGATCAGATTACCCCAATTGAGTCATTTAGTGCCTTAGCATTCCTCAAGTTAGGGCCCAGCTGTGAAATCATAGTTGGGGCCAAACTTTGCTGCTAGGTGTGTGCACATGGCTCCCATTTTCTTCAAAGGGAATGGCACACATGGCCAATATTTAACTTTCACCTCTTCCATTTTTCAGCTAGCAGAGCCAGAACCAATGCAGGCAATTTAATAGAATTAAAAATATAGTCAAGATTTCCAAGACTTACTAGCGATTTGGGCTATATAATTCAATACACCTCAAAGCGCAGATGCTGAGCATATTCTAAAAATCAGGCCATCTCAAATGTCCTATTTTTAAGCAAGTAAAATTGTAAATCACTTTGAGCATTTTGGCCATCAGATTCTAACAGCCAACAGGGTGCAGGATACCTCTTCAAAATTCTAAGTTCCAATTTCTGTGTTGGCTGAGATGCCTGGCTGACTTATCACTTCCCATCCCATTTTGGGCACTATGGTGTTTGCTCTCATTTCAGCCCTCTGCCATTACCAGCAGGGCTTGAACACAGCACGGATGTCCACTTGCGGTATCTGCCTCCTCAAGAAAATGTAGGGTACAGAGCAGTGAATCCTTTGGAATGGACCACATGACTTTGAGGTGCTAGTGCCTCATAGGTACATAAATATGCATCCCAAAGCAACTTCTAAATGTCCCAAGGTGTATGCAGATCTTCATTTCAGCTCAAGGTCAGGTGTAAAACTTTCCTACCATCCTTCCTGACTCTTCCCTTCGTTTTCCCCCAACTCCATCTGTTCCTCACCCATCTCCTTCCCTCCACACTCGCCTCCCTCTTCTTCCTGTGTCCATCTGTTCCCTCCTTCCTCAGTACGAGCTGGGGAAGGGAATTCAGTCATTCACTGAACAGATTTCAAGACGAACACCCTCCCTTTCCCATTCTAACTTCATTCATCATGGTAAAAATCATAATGAATAGAAATGTTGAAGGTGAAAATTTATTAGGGATTGTGTTGCTTTCTTATATCAAAAGCAGTTAAAGCTACATATAAACATTGGCTTCATTCATTTTTTTAATATATGATATAATTATTGAGAAATATTAGTGGAAGTGCTTGGTATGCAGTCCATCAACACATGCCTGTCAGAGTTTAGGATCTGGGCCAAAATTTTTTGCTAGTCCTCTGATAGATTTATAATAAGCCTATAGAAGGTTTTACAGTCAGCTGGGTCACTAATTCATAAAGTTAAAACGTATGCAATGAGGTCAAAAATTCACTATTGATAAAATGCCCCCTCCAGGGATTGCACCATTAACTTTGTTACTGCAACGGCAAAAAATAAAAATAAAAAAAGAAAAGTAAACCCAGAGCTTCTGTGAATTACCAGTCCATCATCATAAATCAGGAGAGAAGAACTTGCACAAGTTCATGATGTCATACAAATATTTATAGCCTTGTGTACTATTTCCTGTTGCCCTATTATAAAAATAAGTCTCTAGATCCCTTGTATCCTCAACCCTGAGCTCAGCAAAATGCAATGAGCATGAGACCATGAGTGCACCTATGATACTAGTCAGGATCTGCCTGGGCTTGTTGTAGGGGCAAGCCCCCATCCCACTTTGTCTCTCTGACTCTGGGTGAAGAAGGAAGAGAGACTGAATACTCCAAGCACTGCATGGGAAATGGATGGATAGGCAAGTGCAAGAGAGGTGGAGGAGCTCAGCACTCACATGAGAACCTCGGGCATCTTGTTCACCAGGAGGGCTAAGCTATGAAGGCTGGGCCTTGAGAGTGCCTTCCTTCCTCCTCCTTCACTGGCCTTTGAGGAACCTCATCTAACGGCTCTAGAGTACTTGGGAATGGATGATGGCCTCCAGTTCATTGCAAATATTCCAGTCCCAACACTTTCTGTAACAAATCAAAGAACTATTGTGCCTGTGTTGATCCCTTTGTCCTGACCCTTCAGATAAAACTTTCTCAAGGAATGAGATGATCTTTAAAGTCTCTTCTAACCCAAGCCATTCTGTATCTCTATGAAGGAAGCATGCTTGTCTCCCTTAAATGACTGGTGTTTGGAGAAATTTCTGTGCTGAGCCACATCTATTTACAGTATTTCTCTGTAACATTGTGTTATTTTTCCACCAAGACAGCTGCACCAGCTCCTTGCCTCTCCCAGTTCTCCATGAGGTGATGCTGAGCAGTGAGGACCACCCAGGTAAGCTGGCAGCCCCATGCATGTGTCACATCACACCAAGCAGCTGCACATCTGGCCTCCCCTTATATTGCTGCAAATAATTATTTAAAGAAAAAATGCTGAAATGGTGTCCTTTAGACAGGTGACCAAAGGTCATTTTCTTACTTCCTTTTCTCTCTCTCTTTTCTGGAGTTTGGGTTTCATTTTTCTGTGAGTCTTTTCAAACCGACTGAGTTCAGTTCAAGTGTTTAAACTTACAAGTTATCCTCCATCAGGTCTGATGTAGCTCTGCTGGCACCATCTCAGGACTGAATGGACATGGCACTCAGCTCCTCGAGTGACGAGCACGTGCTATATTGAATAGACAGGCAGTGACAGCAGTGCACAGGATAGGGAATGGCAGGGAGATCAGCCAGGCATTCCTTCAGTGTTTCTTGTGCACTGATATACAAAGATGCCTCACGGTGAAATTAAGAAGTTACACATCCTAAACTGCCAGAGTTTTCCACAGAATTCACTGTTAACCCTTGGGACTCCTTGCCCCAGGAACACAAAACTGGGGCTGCAGCCAGGGTGGATTGGGAACAAATCCCATCGGTGAGCAGAGCCACGCACCCACTTATCCCTGGTTGTAAGATGTACATGAGCTCTATATGGCTCTGCAGCATTGCCCATATTGCTTCAAGCCCTGTCCAGCAGAACACAGCCATCTCAGTCCCACAGTCCCTCGCCAAAAGAAAGCAGACTTAAAGCCCTCATACGCCGTTGTATAAAAACTAATTTCTAAAGTACGCTAGGAAATTCTACCTCCTGTTCTCCAGGGCTGGAAGACCCTGGTTTGTGCCTGAGCCAATGAAGAGAAATAGGGGTCAGACGACCTGCTGTAAATACCAGTCTCAAACAGCACCGCTGCTCCTTGCTATTAACAAGAGGGATCTGTGGCTGGCATCAGTGGGAAGCAGGTGATTTACTTTGTGCTTTCATGAATTCAGACGCTGTTGTCAGTGGCCTGAATCACCCGGCTTAATAAAACGTCTCAATACTCACATTAAATTCCTACTATTTGTCTTTAATACAAACATGGGTAAGCAATCCCAGTTCCCTGCTATAACAGTCCAAGCAAGCCCCAGCTTCCCTGGATAAAGAATAAATTGGCTACTCCGGGATATTCTTTAAAAGTGGTGCATTAAGGGAATTTGCCCCTAACTACCTCTAACAGTCTAACCAACACAAAATAGCTTGAGATCTTTTTTATCACAATGCACCTATTTTTCCCTTCTAATCCAGTTCAGTGAGTGATTTCTACCTGTTAAAAATGGGCATCTGCAGACGTGTGGAACTGTGGACACAGGCTTTTAGAAGACAGTAACGAAGTTTCACCTCCTGCCCATCTCCATCTCTCTGCAATTTTTTTTTAACATTCTCATTTAAAAGCAGTCATAAATAATACCAGCTGTACATAATATATATATTTTAAATCCTGTTTGGCTCTGCTTATTTGTTCTCATCTCTCAGCCTATTACTGCACCGTGCAGAGACAAACTATAAAAAAAGGAAAAAGAAAAAAAGCTAACCACTTTTTTATGCTGGTCTAGCATAATCTTTATTTCTTTAAACACTTTGTGCAAACATTAAATTGATAAAAGACATAATGTAGAAGGACCCACAGCTGAACTGAAGGTAATTGCATAAAAATGAAATGGAGACCTATAATTGTACACTGCTTTAGCCTCTATCGCACTGTTTTCTGGAAGCACGGATCTCGCTTGTCATAGCAACTTGCTTGTTACGGTGATTGCATGAAGACTTGATCTAGCTGTACAAGACAAGTATAACATTACTTGAAGGGAGCTTTTCAAACTAAGAGTCTGACACTAACATGTACTGTATTTTCAAAGATATAGTGTGCTTTAGCAAACAGAAGAGTCCTTGAATGACAGCTTTTGTTACCCTTTTGTTTGATGGTGCTGCATTGAAAAATTCAGGTTATGTCTATGCCTTTCTATTTCTGGTTTTGATTTCTCTTCAACAGCACTTCAAGAATAAAAATTAACTTGAAGCATGAATAGTAGAAGTCGGTGGATACAGAAAATGTTAGTCTGGCATTTACTGATTACTTCCGTCTGATTTTTTTCAGTCTCGTTTGTTGAATGCTCAAATGCATTCCGTGGGCCATTGTGTTGTGGCAAAATAGGGGAACTGAACAGATATATTGCAATTTAAAATATATCCAGCTTAGACATTAGGGCCAATTTTGAAAGGGGGAAATGATACAAAATGTCATTCTTGCATAGACCTTTCAATCTGACCCGCACGTATTCAACTGCTCAGCCCATGTTCAGCTCTCAGCCTGGACGAATAAGATCCATTTGTAAGACTGGCACCTGAATACCAGGTGGGGCATGTGCTTTTTGGACCCACAGATCAATTATTATCCAATAATAGCAATGCATGACCAGGAGGACATTGCTTCCTCCAGATCTCTGCTACTTCCATTAACATCGCCTTTCTAGAAGATGGAATATTATTGGAAGAAAGCACAGGGGAAATTGTGATATGTCATTGATTTATAAACACTGGAAAATAGTAGTTACTGTACATACAAGTACACCCAAATTGCATGAATTTTCACATTTTGGATTCAAGAGGTTAATCAAGAAGTAGGAGAGGAAAAAAACTATACTTACTGCTCTGGAAAAAAAGCTATCAACAAATTATTACAGTCAAAAAACCACAGACATATTTGTCCAGAACTCTCGTTTCCTTCAATCAAGTGTGCAACCTACAGGCTTTGTGCTGCTGCATCACACCCTGAGGAGCTGCTGCCTCTTCTGCCCTTCTCAAGTCTCACCTGTGGCTTTCTGTCATCCTAATGCTCACAAAACCTGACAGCTGTAGGTTTCCAAGTCCCCTCTCCATGCCACTACTGCCTTACTGCCTCCTTCCTTCCATTTCTCCCTATCCTACCAGTCACTCCTTGCCTAAGGCCAACCTATAGACTCTCTGGGACAGGGAAACCCACAGTTCCTTTACAGCAGACCTTGTCTTTACTGCAAGTTCACAATCTAGAAAAAAAAATACCTGCCAACAAACATTTTATAACCGTGATTTAAAACAAAAATGAATACACTATCTTAGCATTTCCTCTTATCCTCTTCCATGGCTATCACTCTGATAAGCTCTGCCCAGCTTTCTCACTCTTGGAAACACCACTGCATGAAGTTGACAGCAGAATAAAATCTGACTATGGGTAAAATCGTATATGAAATTTTCACTCATTCCATAAGTAAGTGGACAAAACAGAGAGGACTTGGGGTCTATATTCTCCATCACCCTGTAGTAGAAAACAACTTCTAGGAAGATCTTCACCTTTTCTTCTCCAGGATCAAATCCAGCTCCTTCTGCCTCTCCTCTTACATCAGGCACACCTCACCACTTTGCTGAGTTCCATGAGAGACAGTTATACCTCAAACCTTCACTTCTCCTAGCTCAAGCCCAATGGTCACAGTTTTTTTATCCGCTCTTCTTGCAGTCTACTCATCCTGCCCAAATTTCCTTTTTTCTGCCACAAGTATAATTGTAGAAGCTCAACTGCAAGGTTTCACTCTTTATCAATCTTTTCTTGGCTTTTATTTAATATACAGCAGGCATCAAAGGTACCTGAAAAACAAGAGATAAGCAAGATCTCTCCTCTGGCTCCTTGCAGCAGAAAGCAGACTAACTGATTTAGAGTATTTATGGACCCCTTTGAAAGTAACATTTGCAAAACAGAGGTGTTTGTAAAGACTGATTTTCTGTACATAGCTTGAGATCAACATATCACAAGATTCAAGCAAGATAAAAAGTGAGGCTGTGCTTGATGTGAGGTGCAGGAGTTAATCAGTAGAAGATAAGATCTAATGAGGTTTTATCATCCCAGCAGTAGAGCAAATGACTGTGTTTCTTGGACTCTTGATCACTTTGGAAAAGAATTGTAACTGTACATCAACCCATGTTTGTCTGCTCCTAAGTAGTTCCTCAAGGATACACTGAGCTCAGAACTCTTCTCCCCTAATAGGGACTTAGAAGTAAGCTCTGTCTCTGGTTTCTGAGATGACTCTCTGGAACAATGACAGCATGTGAAGTATCCCATCTTCTAGCTGAATTTTGGGCCAACAATACAAGCATGTGTAGTAGCTGATGAAGTAGTACATGAAGTTATAACAAAATTTGAAACAAAGATAATCTGATTTTCTTTGCAACAAGTCATTGAACCATGGTCAGCTGGCACAGCTCCATCTGGGTACTACCTACACACACTGTTGGCTGTAAATTTAGAGAAACAAGAGCTGCTGTTGAAAAACCAAATTATTGTTTTGCATTCTCACATATCACAAATTGAAGTTAGGAAGTACTCCAAATAGATTTCAGCTGAGGTTACAGTTCTGTTCTCTCTTCTCGCCTGATCCCACCCAGTGGGAGTTATTACTTAGCCTATAAATCCTCTGGTTTAAGAGGAAACCCTTGAGTGCAAGTTTACAATTGCTTGCTTGATGAATAAACTTCACATATGTAAAGAGACAGAAATCATCAAGCAGGGTTAGCCCTTAGAAGTAAACACCTATAGGCTTGGAAATTCTGCATATGTTATTCCCTCAGATCTATGCCTTAGTACCACAAACAAGTCTTTCTTTTTCCTTTTTTTTTCCTAATCCCACCAGAAAACCAGCTTACAAATAAAAAGCATACAGATGAAAAGACCGTGAAAGGTATTGTTATGAGTTCTGTCGCAGAATTTAGCATGGCAGACACTTCATCAAAAGAAACCAAAAATGAGAAGAAATTGTCAGAAGCAAGCAGATCATCCATTGCTTCCCTGGAGAAATGCAGAGAATTCACCTACATTGAAGATGATGCGTCAGTTCATCAGAGAGACAGTGATGGTATGTTTGGTAAAACAAATTGCATTTCTAAATAACAAGCACTTCAGAGCACAATGCATATCTAACTTGAAATAAATGCTTACATGCTTAATGGGAAGTTCAAGAACATAGCCAAAAGCAGTAATAAGTAGCTCTATTGCCATTTTCTCATTTGAGTGATGAGAATCTGTAGAAGAGAATCTTAAATTTTCAATGATATTAAAGTCATAGAAGAGAAACTTACAGCCTACAGAGCTGCTGTGCTCCCCTACATGTAAACATACACACTGCTAAAGCATAGCCTGATCTTGGGCTATTGACCAGAGCTGTGTCACCTTGTGAGATAAAGGAGCTGGTCTTTCTAATTGTACAAGAGCATGGGTTAAGGAGCAGAATATCTGTGATTTTGTTATTGTTAAAGGAACCAAGAAAGAAGAGAAATGGTTTTGCCCGTAACAGACCATGGGCTATGACTCCTGGTAATGTAAATAGCATGACAGCCCTGATTTTAGTGAATAACCAGCACTTAAGAAGTTATTCCTGGTTATTAGCATAGATGTGAAAAAAACACTTATGTGAATCATTTGTAAAGTTTCTAATGTGTGTCTTATGCAATAATGGATAAGTGTTTCATATCAAGCAGCTCTGAGATCTATCATGGATGTGATAAAAATGATCCCTGAATTAAGAACTTCTGAATACAGGTCAACACAATAAACTGCAGTGCTGTCATGGAACAACTACCACCTCTGTTGTAACAGCGATCCTGTAACAAAAGTGATGTCTCTGTCACTTCTGTTAGAACGCTTTTAATTTCAGTGAAGGGCAGTCAGTGTTTATTGCGTTTAAGGGACTCATCCTCCAGCCCAGACACTCACTGTTTTCTGAGTTTACTATCAGATCAGGCCCCTCCATCATTACTGGCACACAGGTATGCACATATGATTTCATAATCCTTAAAAAGCAAAAGGAATCAAGAAAAAAAATAATTAAAAGAAAAAAAAAAAAGCCACGCTCAATTAATAATGTTACATACTGGATGGAAGCCAAGAGAACCAAAGGAAACCAGATTTGCGGTTGTCACTGCATACTCTGCCCTCCTTACTCTGACAAGTTACTGCTTACTTCACACATCTAAAAGGCTAAATCCCACTCACTGGTGCATGGAGGATCTCTGGAAGCAGAGCAATTGGAGATGTGCTGAGAGAAGAGCAGATCCAAAGCTCAGAGGTCTCACCGTGCTGGTCCTGGTGGCATGAGCAAGCTCTAGTCCAGGTTTGTGCTGAACAAAGGGCAAACTGGCAGCCACCAGACAGGAACAGGAAAAACTAGAGATGAGGCAGGCTGGCTAAATTATTATAAGTTCTTCTTTTGTGGTAATTAATCCACTTATGTAGAGAATGAGAGCTGAGGTCATTGTTCTCACTGAGATAAATGCAATAACGTCTTTTTGCAAACAGCGGGGAAAACAGAAGAGAAAACAGGAGATTGCATCTCCTTTTATGCAGTTTGTGGCTAATTTATTTTCAAATATATAAATGAATGCATAGGAATGGATGCTTAATTGCTAATATCTATTATTTATATACATTACCCCACTTAAAACAGGACAAAAAAAAGCCTCACACATGCAGATTTTTCGAAATGTGTTACATCCATTATCACAGTTCATGGTGTGTGCTCTGATGGGAATTTAAAAGCATCTTTACTGCACATCACAGACTCTGTGCCGAAACATTACTTTGTTATTAAAATCTTGTGCTTTTTGTGTGTTCCTTCTCCTGGATGGAGCCCTAAGGATGGTACCTTTTCTGTGAAGATTACAGAAGCACCAATATGGTGAGCACATCAGGAAAAGAATAAGAAAAGATATTAGAAAACAGATCTCTGGAGAGGAAAAAAAGAAACTAAAAGGAAAGATCCTTAATTGATACATGATTTTGAATATGATCTCTTGTATCTAGGTATAGAAAGGAAATTTCATCAACACATTAAGAAAAATAGTCTTAATTACACCATAGGCTACTGGATAAAATGATTACATTTTCTACACTGTAAATTTCATACAATTAAATGCAGCAGTGTCACCTTATAAAATGTTTCAATTTTATAATTATTTCAGTTCATTTACTTAGAAAAAAATGTAAGCATGAATTTACTCAGTATCACCAAAATCTAGTCATTCTTATTCAACAGAACTGACTTAGAAGTTAGTTGTGCTTGTCTGAACCTAAATAGATCTTGACATATTTAAATAAGTATTAAAATTGATAGCATTGATGATGATATGCTACTTAGAAAGGAGTTCAATCACATGCTATTTGTTCTTGCTACCTGCAATAGCTGCCTTTTTTTGTATACATAAAGACACTGGAATGATTTTTAATTTTGTTTTCCATCGAGAAATCTTTCATAAAAAATAAAAAAGAAAGAAAGAAAGAAAAAAACGAGCATAATTCTGGAAACTTCCTGGCAGTGAACTTTATGTTACGTGAGATAAAAAAAATGCCACAACAGAACCAGTGCAGTTGAATGAGTTCACAGTTAGTCATCCCAGGGCAAGAAACGCGGATGTAACCATATGCTTTCCTGAAAGAACCAATGAAAAGACATTCGTGTTGTTGAAAGCATTTTTCTTTTCCAAAAACAAGAAGGGGGAAAAAATGGAAACGTTTGGTTCTTTGCGATCCAACAGGATTCACACCGTCAGAATCTCGCACCTGCTTGGAGCCCTGCTGCACTCCACCAGCTTCCCCAGATGCCATAGTTCAAATTTGGGGTGGTAACAAATCGAGTTGTTTTTTTTTTTTTTTTTGAGGGGAGTGAATAGAAAACAGACAGACATCATCCTTCCTGATACTGTTTTCCAATTTTTTGTCTCATTTTGGAAGTTGACAAGGCTGTAAATGAAAAGGTGGTAAAATTTGGGAGTAAAAGTAGAAGGGCCTTGGGCTGAAAATCCATCACAGTGCCCTCTGTAAATGTGGTTCTCTGTATTTGCCATTACCTCTTCTCTTTGGCTAGGCCATTTAGCAGTCATTAAACAGTTCTATGGAATCAAACCTTTAATAGAAGCCAAACTGTAAGTAGATGAGGAATCTGTAATTGTTTTTTTTGCCCTGTACTGCTTGTAGCTCTCATTAGATCATCTCAGTCCTCATCCAGATACCACATCTAATTCATGGGCAAAGGTCACCACCCATCCAGAACAACCAAGTACTGCAGTAAGAATCAGACCTGGAGAGTCTGAGGACCTACTCCACTCTCCACAAAAGCTTTGGGTGTCTGTGCATTGACTTCCAGCAAGGACTGAATCAGAGCACAGCAACAGGCAGCCCGGAAAAGATTTCCCCCAAAAAAGATTCAGTACCAAATTACTTGTAGGCAAAAAAATTACCCTTGAAAGAGTTTTTTGGAGGGAATTCTTTTGTTGATTTTTTTTTAAACAAAGAAATTCTTTAAAGAAATAATTGCAGCAGTCTGATTGTTTTTATCTTTTCATATCTCCATAGTGTCAAATTAAAGGAATTATCTCATTTTTGCATGATCACAGCAGCACAATATTGGGTAATCAAGCATGCCCTTTTTCTCACGTCTCCCTGCTTTTCCTTTTTCTTAGATGAATGTGCAACACTTATCCTGGCCTGCTTGTTCTGCCAGTTTTGGGACTTTCTTATAATGCTGCCTGATACCTGTGAACACTGGCTGATAGATACCTGTTGTCCATCCAATAGATACTACCAGACCTCCGATGAAGACCACTCCAACAATGACTGCAACTGTGACTGTGACATTGATTGCAGCCTCTTTGAGTCCTGCCATGAGACTGGCGAATGCCTGGAACTTGCCATGGAGATTTCTGAAGTCTGCTATCGCTAATAGGAAAACAATTGACAAAAATCCTGAAAACTGCCGGGAAGGGGTTGGACAGAGTACAAGGAGACTTTTTTTTGGGAAAAAAAAGAAAAAGATAACAGGAATGTTTCCCAGCCGGACTATGCCATCATGCTGCTTTCACCCTGGAGGTCTGTATATTTGTAACATACTGGTTCTATGATAATAAAGGGCAAAAAAAAGGTTTCCTCCTTTGCCATAGACAACAACAGAATTCCTAAGTGCCAAGTGTGCTCAACGCATTACGTGCTGCCAGTGCAATGCTTTTATAAACCCCTAATTGCTTTAAACATGGATTTCCCCCGTTCACAAACACAGGATGAATTAGGACATTCTTTTAGGACTGATATATATTAGTTCATCTCCCTAATGGATTCATACATAAACATGTATTACACATTGTTGGTTATTATTAATAATGTATGATACAGCATCATTTTATAATTAAAAATTTATTTATTCAATCTCTTAGAACACACTTATATGTTCAGTTTAGGTAGAAAAGAAAATTAAATGAATTAGAAACCATGCTAGCTGTAATTACAGCAAATGCCTCTAAAAATCTCCAGTGAGTTTTGTGGAGGAAGCACTTTAACAGGGTAGTGCAACTCGACAGTGTATTAATGTGCGTGCCTATGGTTATGTAATAACAGGTTATGCCTATTGTTCATTAGTTGTAGAAAAGGGCTCCTTAAGTGTAATTAGCCTAAATGGGAACTGACTGCACACTTCTAGAGGAGAATTACCCCATGGATAGCCAGTAACTCCTTTGCCTGATTTTCATTTGCAAGACTCCTGCAAGCAGCAGAATATTGCCATCTATTCTAGTGGAAACAGGCATCTCCACCTGTGCACAAAAGATTACAAAATGACAGTATCTATCCTGGTTGTGCTTTCAGACTCCCTCTATCTCTTTTTCTGATGGCAGGTCTGATTAATAAAAAGGAAATACATATTGTGCATCACACATATGACAACAAAAGCATGTAAATTCAGCTGCCTCAGGGTGCAGAACGATCGTATTAAGCACAGAGGAAAATACAGAGTTGCTTGCTCACATTAGATATTTATAGACTAACACCAAAGACCATATTTGCTTTGTATAGTCACAAAACTTCTCCCAGGACCCTACTGATCTCAGTGTAGAAGTGCCTGGGGAATCCCAAACAAGAGTTCTGGACAAGATTACAGGATACTGAGCTTTGCTGAAGTCATTGAAGCCACTTGTTTAATAATCTGAGTCTCAAATCTCCAGCCGTGACACACAAATATTAAATGTATAACAATAGAGTGAATTTCCAATGTGAATTTCCATTGCTTTCTCTTCCAGAAATGAGAAAGTAAGGAGTAGGTACAAATGCTAATAATCTTTATCAAGTATCTTTCAAAGCTTTGTTACCTCAGAGCAAACGAAACGCCTCTACCATGACAAATAAAAAATGAGATGGCTTTGTGGACAACGAACCTAGAAATGCAGCCTAGTGTAGCTTGCTCCTGTGCTCCTTCCAGGACATCAGTGGGGAAAATAATAGGTTTCCTTCTTCTAATTAGAAAGGCCTTTTGTGAGTTGCAGCCACCTGAAGGAAGAAAGTCATTAGTTCTTAATTGTCACACCTGTGCCAGCCTGCCAGATGCGATGGGACCCAAACATGGAAAGTGCTAACTACTGCCATCTGCAAGGCACTGTATTTGCACACCCGGGGCTGAGCAATGCTGAGTTTTAATGCTCCAGTTTGCACTCTCCTGCAGGTTTTTGATCTTAAATCTGATCATACTGAGCATTAAGACTACACTGGTAGGGCAACATTTTGGGTGTTGGTGACACCCAAAACTGCCATAGGTTATCTTCAACAAATTAGCAAGTAGGCTCATGTGAATAAAGAGATGGACCCACAACATTTAGAAGTCACAAGAGGAGAGATCTCAGCCACACATATGTTCTGAGAGGAGTACCAATAGCGATGCATAATGGCAATACTTGCTCTTGATGTTGCCATCCAAAAAAGCTTTTCACTCTTGCAATATCTGGAAGGAGAGCAAGGGGCATCAGAGGGTGATGCACACCAAAGCACAGCCAATGACATGTATAGAGGTGAAGTGTTGCTTGTTTTTTTCCAGCTCTGAGCTCATGACACTTACAATTTTGCCATACTGGGATAACCCATTATGAAACCAAATTAAATTAAGGATTACCAGTACAAAATATTCCTTTCAACTGTTCCACTATTCAAAAAAAAAAAAAAAAAGCCTTCCTTCCTGTGTGTAGGTTGGCATACTGAAGTCATGTCTACTGTAGGGCATGAGTAAGACCAAAGACAGATTTTAAATGGTCGTGGCCACAGCCATGGCTAGATAGAAAGCCCCAACAACATGAATTGAATCATGCTGGAAAATACTGATAACTACTAACATGATGAATAGTAGCATTTTAAACAGTGCAGCAGTATCTTTTGCCTAAAGTCTACAATGACACATTGCTCAGTTTCCTGTTTTAGGAAGTAGATTTTTAGAAGAATTCTATATAAGCAATGAAATCTTGAGGAATGTGTTAATATTCTTCCATATTTAATGGTTTTCATACTTTATTTCATGCAACATAGTAGAGCTGGCGGCTCATGACAACTTTGTTTTCTGCCATAAAAGTGCTAATTGTAATGTTATACTTCCATGATGCTGGGACCATTTGAAGTGTTGACACCAGAAAAACAAAAATGTTTTGTTCCATTCAGCATTCCAGAAACTGGATTTCCTGTCTGGGGAGCCACCCTATTCCTACATTAAACTGACTTCCTCAGCCAGAGAAATACCTGTTTATCAGATAAGAACATGGATATAGACATTCCAGTTAAGCAGAACTATCAGGAACTATTCGAGGCTCTCTCTGTATTTTTCCTTTACTGTGGAGAAAGGCCTGAGTGTGTGAGTAGGAGGCATTTGGGTGGATGGCTGTTCTGAACATGTTGGACTCAGCTGTGCTCCCGGAGAGATGTCAGCTCTGCAGCGTGTGAAACTGACTCCTCAGAACAACAAATAAACGTTACCATTTTGCAAACGGGAACATCGCTCTGACACGACGCCTCTCCTCAGCACCATAAATGAGCTGACAGATTGGTTGGGGGAAGAGAGAGACGGAGATAATAACGAAGATCTGTATCACTGCCTTCTACAGGAATGGACCACGGGATGCTCTCTACGGATCTCCTCTTGGCAGTGACTCACCAATCTCATCCTTAAAAAAAGAAAGTCCTTTTATCTCCTGATTCAGTTGCAAATTCTTCGCAGCTGAAGTTGTCATTTGCTAAATACTGTACTGCACCCAGCACTATCAGAGGACCCACTGACAAGGCTTTGGGGTGCTTCTGAAAATTTAAGCAGTTATCTCAAAGGAAATGCAATTCTCCAACTGACCCTTGAGTGAGCCTTCCCCTTTGTAGTTCTGGTGCCTTACACTCCATGCACAGAAGTCCCTTTAGGTAGGGGGCAAACAAAAATTATCCCATGTACTTTTCTGAATTCAGGAATGGAGCGTAATATGTTATCACCTGTGACTTTCCTTTACTTCCTAGAGCATTTTAATCCTTCATACTCTCTTAAGCAATCACAACGAGAATAACCAAGCTCTTCCAAATGTCAAGACGACTCTTGCCTTAACTCCAGTGCTGCTTAGGGATTCAGACTGCATGCTACAGCTGAGCTCTAGAAGACATTGTTTCTCAGGAAGAAAGCAAAATGTAGGAGCAAGTAAGATGCTTGCAATCCTGTTGTTATGCCTGTATATATGGAAAAACTTTAATTACTGTTTGACTAAGAATGTATATATCTATAAAACGTATCTTTTAATTATGTGAAACGAATGGTTCCAATCTGTATTTTGCATTGCTGTCTTTGTCATCCATGCCAAGCTGAATTTTAGGTCTCCTAAATGAAAAGAAAGTTTCCTGTTATGCAAGAACATGAGGTTACTGCACAGACTGGGATCACCAGGCACTTCTCTACCATAACTCACAGTAACAGGGTATTAATCATGATTAATAATCTATCATTCCTGTGGTTTAAAAAAAAAAAAAAAGGAAAGAGTTCTTGAGAAATTGCACTTTTTCTTCCTGTCACCGCAGAGCAAAACAATTATATGGAATTCATTATTCTGCTGGTAACAATCTAGATTTTCTTAGCATTGCACACGAGCAGGAATTGTTGCCATCTGATGTGTGCTCCATGGCCTGTGCAAAATGAGTTGGTGTGCACAAGCCAACTCCTAATGGATGCGTGCCCATATCACAAAAAAAAAAAAACATTATTATAATTTGTACCCTTGGGAGAAATGCCAAGGCCTGAGAGTAAATGGAGCACTTTCTTTCCCAAGTGCTAGCTCTTCCATGGTCAGAGTAGAAAGAGCACTGCTGAACTGCATCTGCTGCCTCTGTAACAGGCCTCACTTTTCTGAGATACCCTCTGGTATCTCAGATCTCCCTTCAAACACGGAGAAAAATGGCTCTGAAGGGGCATACTCAGCATGCATCTTCTCCCTCCCCCATAAAGTCATCATGGAGGTTGCATGAGCAGAAACTGAAACAGAGGCAGTCACTGGCAGTATATAGTTTGTCCTCTTTTTAGGTGCATCCAGAAGTGAGCAAAGAAAAATCTATTGTCACTAAATATAAAGTACCCACTCATAAATCCCCACCTGAAATCTGAGAAATTTACAAGCCAGAAAATGTTGAATGTCGCTGAATTATCTTCTACTAGAGCCTTCCAGGAGCAAGGCACCACTCTCCTGATATTGAGGAGGGACCTCAGAAGACTGTAGACTTCCAAATAGCCAGTTCACAGGCGCTAGAGAATCCTGCTTATAAAATGCAAAGAAGAATAAGAAAAGAACATTTCTCACAGACACTACGTTGATGACCTGTCTCAGCAGGGCAGTTTAAGAGGCAAAGTAATCCGTTATTAGGGAACCTTGCCACTGAAGTAGTCATTCACAGCCT